AGCAAAGGTGTATTGGCATAAAACAGCTCTAAAGCAATTTTAAATTACCACTACAATTTTCACTGTAACTAGAACCATAATATGTGAGACTTTCCTGCTCAGCTAAAAGTCCCTGTGGGATACCAATTATTGCTATGAGAAAATCATGAAGAATGAGGTGCTAATGCACAAGTGGCTGTTTTCAGGCGCCTGGAATATGCGGAATGGTGGAATCCCACCTACGCATTGCGGAATGGTGAGACGGAGAAGAGACAGATGGGGAATGATCTCCTGGCTCTTCTGTTATCAGTCTGGAGTTACTCACTCAGATGTTTGAAACAGAAGCATTTCTCAATTCTCACTTATAAAACGGCTTTTATCACCAGATTGATTTTGTTAAAAGAAACACCTATATATGTAATAAAATATCTATAATACTTTAAATAGCTATCTAGGTGCCAAATAAAATAGTTTGAGCCCCAAACCTGAAGATAGCATGAAACAGGAGTTGAAGTGTTCAGTCCAGTCCCTAAGAAAGGCGCAGGCAGAGTGTAAAACACAGCGTAAGTGGCTTAGGACTGAAAACTCAGGTGCCTGCTCAGTGGAAGTTTTATGAATTGAAGTTTTAGACTTTGGCACCTAGATTTGCCTAAGATCCACTAAGTAATATTTAAGAACTTGTCTGCATGTGACATAATGGGATAAATGTGTGATGCCCTGGGTAGAGACTATTGCCCATTTTTCCGAATTAGGTGTAATTTGCAAGGCAACAGTGACTACTTCCTCTGTATGTAGTATCCAACTACTAACAGGCATATTTGTCAACTGATTACCCACGTCCTGGTTGAGCAGCTGTGACACTGAGCTAAAGAATGGAGAAACAAAACTGCCAGACTCCAGACAATTTGGAATTAACTGTAGACAGTTTAGAACTAATGCAATTAGTATTCATGAAGTCTTTTTTTTTTTTTTTTTTAAAAAAAAAAAAAGGGCATTTCATGGGGGAAAAGCAAGTGACTCCAGCTGGTGAAGGGGCCGGAGCTCAGACCTTACGAGCAGCAGCTGAGGGCGCTGGGGTTATTTAGTCTGGAGAAGAGGAGGCTTAGAGGATGTCTTGTTGCTCTCTACGACTGCCCAAAAGGAGGTTGTAGTGAGGTGGGAGTTGGGCCCTTCTCCAAATAACCATTAGTGGGACACGAGGAAATGGCCTCAAGTTGCACCAGCGGAGGTCCAGGTTGGATATTATATGTATTTTGTTGTGTAAGAGTTGACTTAAAGATTTTAAAAAGAAAAATCTAGGAAAAAAAAAATTGTACTATCAGCATTGAAAAGAGACTTTTAAATCTTTTTTTCTGAGCTACAGCTTAGAAGAAAAACTAACACTGCTTCAGAAGCTAGGGAAAAAGGAGAGTGAGAGAAAGTTGCTGATCCCAAAAGCAATGTGCATTTGGCTTCTTTTTCCAGATTCAAGCCATTAATCTCTTTCAGGAGGAGGTACAGTAACAGCAGAAATAGCAATTGTGCATGGATCACCTCAGACAAGTGGTAGACACAGAACATTAAGATTCTGAGATGTGGAAAGGTTTGGCAAGGTAAATTAGTAGATATTAAAAGTAACAGAACGGCGAGAGAAGGACTCCCTGGGAGAACAGATTTCCTTAAGGATTTCAAGGTTTTATACCTTAATGTTTATATATATCACTCAAATGATAAAGGTCTGCCTTTTCTTCTTGGAAATAAATATGCATGTTCTCATTGGTACATTCCATTAAAAAAGACCTTTTTCTGTTAGATCTCAATGTTTCAGCCTCCATTCAGCACTATGCATTCCCAGCTCATGGCACGAGCAACCAGGTCTCCTCTTGTCTCTCCTCCTCATCCTCCTGACTTCCATTTTTTTGGTGCCGAGTTTACTTGCATTTCAGTGCCTTCCCAGAGAGCTCATCTGAATTGAGGAAGATCCTTAAAGGGAAACAATGGTGCGCCTGCAGTAGCTATTGCCAGGCTACTCAGTGTTTCTATGTCAAATGAGACTATTTAGTTACGGTTAGTTAAATAGAGAAATCCATTTTAGGTAAGTTCAAGATAGCTGTTCAGATATTTTTGAGATGAGGCACTTAACTATTAGACACTCATATGTTAAGTAGTTTTCTTTTTAAAAGGTTTTTGTCAGAGATTTTTCCAACAGCTCATTATTAATTGAAATAATTTGATGCTTCCTCTTGTCTTAAAAAAAGCTTTTCCTACAGTAACTACCTTATTTAATTCTTGAAAGCTCAAGGGTTTTCAGGTGTAAATACCCAGAAACTTTGCATGTAAGTCCAAGCTGAGAGTTTAAGTCTCTCCTTTCTAAACATAAGCAAGCAGAGCTGAGGCCTGGATAATAAATTTAATATTCACATATACTCCTTACTTTTAAGGAAGATGAAACTACAGCCTTATCACAATGGACTGATAGTTTTTACAGCTTTAGTTTTTACAGGTTTTGTTTTTGGTTGCTGTGTCTACCCATGATTGCCATAAGTCCTTTTTTTTTTTTTTTTTTTTTTTATTTTTTTTTTTTTTTTTTTTTTTTTTTAAACAAATTCATCTTTTTTATTAATTTTGCACTTCGTCTGTTCTCTGAACAAGTAGAATTAATGCCTAGATTACAGAAAACTTATTTTTCAGACTAACTAGTGCAACTAATGTTTTGGAATAAATGCCTTCTCTGCAAATGGTAGAAAACGGGATAAGAGTGAAAAGAATGATTACGTGAAGAGAGAGATAGGACTAATGCTTTTGTTTTTGCAAACAAGTAGAAGATAAGAGACATCTGTAAATGATAAAACATCTGTAAAGTGTAAGTCAGTGTTATCCTTTGGAATGTATGGAGCCCAGGATCAGTTAAGACATAATTGTATCATTATGAGCTGACACCAAAAATTCCTACAAAGTGGGACACTAAAACTGTTTAAAACCTGAGTTGCCGCTACCACCAAAATAATTTATGTTAGGTTTGTAAGTCTGGAGGAAAATAGCTCTCATTTGCTTTGGCTAAATAAACAGGTATTTTTCAATGTCATTTGCAAGATGATAAACGACTTAAAATAGAGGAAAATGAGATTTTTTTTAAAAAAGCATGGAGCATACATAGTTAAAGTACTGTTTCTATTACATTTCCCACAGTCTTGAAACTCATCTCTCCTCAAATCTGGTCTGGATACTAAATACTTTAAGATCAAGTATTTTAAAAGAGATGTACATACAGAAATGTGTGGCTGAAGGTGGTCAGCTGTTCTTCCCATCGTCTTAAGACTCTCTAACTTCAACTTTGAATTACTGTGATGGTGTCAGCACAGATATAAGCAGAGATGAGTTTTGTAAGATGATAAATAAACTCGGCAAGTAGGTTAGTGCTCTGCAGTATAAGATCATATTCTTTTTCATTTTTAGGATTTTTTTTGCCTAGTTTAAATTTCTCCGTGTGAGCTGCTATATTGAGCTCTTCTCTCAGTGGGTGTTTTGGTTTTCCTTGTTTAAACACACTATCTCCCAAACCTTGTTTTCACAGACTCAAGCCAAAGAGTTTGTCTGATTTGATAAGGGAACAGATGTCTGGCATTCAGTCTAGTTTTCTGTCCCAAAACCTGATAATTTGTTTGGATGATTTAAGGAAAAAAAAAAAGTATATACATTTATATTCACATCCATGCGCGCACATGTGTGTATTCATATATTTGTGTATATAGTTATATGTATGTGTGCACTCGGTTGCTTTTCATATAGCAAGATACTCTAATTGCAGAAGTGAAAACACTGCTTCTGTGTGAAAAGTATAATGGCTTGGGTTTTGTATAACTGAAGCTTTTAACACAGCTGTTTCAATTATGACATACAGATTATCTAGATTTTTCCCATTTTAAATAACAAAGGAGAAACATAGAATTTCCTTTACTTATAAAAACATATCCTTGAACTTCCTTATCTACCTAAAGTCTTTAAAGAGAGAAACAACAAAATGCTAGAGGTTGATTCCCAAACACGACAATATTTTGTTTAGAGGGAGTAGAAATAAAAATGAGGAATAGGAGGTTTTGCTGGCATTGACAGCAGTTCTGCCAGAAGAGGGCAGAATACGGGAGGAAGATTAATCTAGCCCAAGCAAGATATTAAAGACATTTCCAAGTTTTTTCCCTTGTATCTGCTTTTTCTTTTTCTTTCATTTTTTTTTCTTATTAAGCAGGGAGATACTGAGATTGATTTTTAAAGTGGTCAGAAGTTGCATGTAAAATTCTGCAAGAGCAAACTTAAAAAAAACCCACTAAACCACAAGCATGAAGGGAATTCTTAAGAAACTGTAAATACAGTCACTTTGAGCTTTAAGCATCCCAAGAATAGGATCATACATTTGAATTGAGCAGATTTTTTGTATCTGTGCCCTATCCGGGTATAAGATAATGGGCCATTGTAGCATGTAGTTCTTACAAACCCTAACTCTCCCCTAGCAAATTTTGTTAAGAACTTAAATTGAACAACTGTTGTTCAATTTACACAAGTGGAAAAGTTTCATTGTGGGGGCTTTAGAATGAATGCAACACTTCAAGATTCTTGTGAAGTGTCAGTCTTGGCTTTGCTCTCTTTAGATTTGTGTAGGCATTAATCACCACATACTATATTAATACAGTATGAAAATTATTGTGACCAAGCTGCATAGGTTTCTAGTGTTAAGACTTACAAAATGCCCCTTCTTACAAAGCAGCACAAGAACAGAACCAAGACACAAGAAAAGGACTATGAAGGATCCATGGGTCTGTTTGCTTTGGTTTAGTTCCAGCTTGCTCACAGAGATCCTGCCAAAAGAACATGCATTTGTATAGTACAAAATTAATAATAAATTTTCGAAGAGTTTGAAGAAGCAATCTCCAACAGGTCCTTATTCCCAACTCCTCCTACTGTTTCTCCTTTGTACTTATTGCATATCATATATAGGTAGAAAGTGCTATGAAAAACATTTATTTAAAGAATAAAAGAGCAGAAAGCCTTATTTAAATTGCAAATTTAACAGTTTCAATGAAAAGCATATTTAAGACTGAACTTTTCTACACAATTACTTGTAAAATGCAGTTTGCCATACCTTGTATAAAGGATTCAAGGCACAAATAAATCAAAACTGAACTGAGAGTTTAAAAAAAAAGTCCAACATGCCTGGCTGGGTAGTAGTAATCTTGAAGTAGAAGAGTAGACTTTTTTCCAAAACATCCATTTAATCATCTGAAACACTGATATTTGCAAATAGATTTCTTCAAAAAATATATGCATCACTTTAAAACAACAGCATTACAAAGCATAAATAGGATTTCTTTCAAAGGAAAAACATTCTAGTCTGTATGAAATTGGAAACAAAATCAGGCCAGCAACTCAGTCACTAGAGCTGTCTGAACTATCAGAAGATGAACTTTTTTCCTTTTTTCTTTTCTTTTTCTCTTTTTTGTGATGTTTTCCTTTCTTAGATTTATTCTTCTTTTCTTTTTTCCTTTCTTTTTTTTGTGATTTTTGTTTTTTTGATTTTGGCTTATCCTCTTCAGATGTACTTGATGAGGAAGACCTAGTGGAAAAAAATACAGATTGACAATTAATCAGAGGAAGAAAAATGAACCGATATCTACATAATGTCACAAATTTAAGTATAACGTTCATACAGTAATATCCATATCCACTGGAAATTTTGTAACCATCTCTGTGTTCATCTGAATAACAATTTTTATTAGATGATCTTGTCAGAAAAGCAGTCTGTTTATAACATGGAGTATTTCACAATGAAATAAGCGAATTGCATGTTTTTCAATCTTAGTTACATTGCTCAGAGACCTCAAGAAAACGGGGTGAAAGCATGACAACAAGAACACTACAAGAAATGTCTTCAGACTAATATAAATGCATTTCTCATTAAAAAGGGTTAAGAGAAACAGGTATAAGCTTGCAGCTGATAACATTGCACTATGACTCCTCTGTACTGCCTTTATAAGTTATAGTTATGCTATATAAATAAGGAAGGGGAAAAATGCCAGCATCACCAGTGTTAAATCATGTTTCTTTACACTTATTTTGTTTCTGAAGAATGTGTTGTTGTGACATTCAGAGAAATTACACATTTCCTGGCTCTCAGTGTAGTTCCTAGGAGATTATCTCATCCATAGTCCTGACCGCCAATAGTCTCATCTAAATATCAGCCAGCAGAACAAAATTCAGAATCAGTAAATTTATGTATTATGACATTCTCTTTTGAAAATGGAAAAACACTTTTGGTCTTCTAAGCAACAGGAGTGTTAAAACTCAGCACGTTTTAAGTAAATCTGAGAAAAAAAAAAAGATTTCCTACTGACAGTTATAGGTCAATTAACAAGGGAGGAAGAGTCAGTGAAGCATCTCATGGTTGCTTAAATCCAGTCTCTGTTTTGAAATTAAATTAGGTGAGTTACCTTTTCCTTGCTCTCTTTAATTTTGTTTTCTCTTTGCTCTTCTTTTTCTGTTTCTTTCTTTCTTCTTCCTCATTTAAATCTGTGGATAAAAAGTTATAATTTATAAAATATTTCAGTTCTGAATTAAGATTAGCATTAAAAGAATGGTGAAATCATTATGCACAGCATAAAATTAGCATAAAATTCTTGATAAAAGTTTTTTTCTCTTGTTAATTAGTTTCAGAAATATTTTACAGAGCAGGACTTGTTATACCACTTACAAAAGTTCCAAGGACTTTTGTTTAAAAATTGAGAATGAGAAAATTCCTGTAAAATGTAACAAAATTTAGGACTTGACCTACACATTTACACTAACTTCAGGTTTCCATATCCATTGCTCTGTATTCTAAAGACTTGCAGAAGTCTGAAAACAGGTCACATAACCAGAAGGTACTGAATAATAAAAATGCGTATTCCCTCAGGCTTACCTGAATTACTTGCACACAACCTCATTTCACATAGAAATAGCAATTATTTAAGCCATAACTACGATAAGCTTCAATTTACTGTCAATATGCTGTCCACAAAAAATGTTAGGAAAGTCACTCCTACTCTGGCCTATCCCTACCTTTCACGTGCATTTGAATAAAACCTAAGTATAGAAGAGAAATACTAAACCAAGGGACAGCTAGAAAACTTCTACTGTTATATAAAGATGCAGTTGTGACTAAAGAGAAATGTCTGCAAAGACATCACAAATTGTCCTTTTATCAGGACCACATTTGGAGATTGAATGAATTCTATAATGAAAAAGAAAACTTTCAGAGACTGAACTAATGATATAAAAACAATACTCAAATACTTCTGAGTTTCCTTAGTACTATTATCTGTACTTTTACAGAAAAGACATGTTTAGCTATCTCCAACCTGACTCTCTTGAATTATGTTATTGAGGGACAGTTAGATAGCAAGTGTATAAAGAAGACAGATCTAAATCTTCTACCATTACAGAATCACAGAATGTTCAAGGTTGGAAGGGACCTCTAGAGATCATCTAGTCCAACTCCCCTGCTCCAGCAGGGACACCTGGAGCAAGTGGCACAGGGTGGCATCCAGGCAGGTTTTGAAGACCTCCAGAGAAGGAGATTCCACAATCCTCCTGTTCCAGGGCTCCGTCACTCTCACCGTTAAGTTCTTCCTCACGTAGAGATGAAAGTTCCTGTGTTTCAACTTGTACCCATTACCTGTTGTGCTGTCACTGACCACTACTGAGAAGAGTTTGGCCCTCTTCCTCCCTTCATTCCTCCCAATATTTACACAAATTGATCTGATCCCCTCTCAGTCTTCTCTCCTCTAGGCTAATGAGGCCCAGCTTGCCTAGTCTTTCCTCATATGAGAGATGCTCCAGTCTCTTAATCATCTTCGTCGCTCTACACTGGACCCTCTCTAGAAGTTCCACATCCGAGCCCAGAACTGCAGGCACTTTACACACTTTCTTGTCAATTACCCTTATAAGTTTGTCTGTGAAATAACATTGCTTCAACAATGTAACAATGCAACAACAACAATGTAAGAATCATGCAGGTTCAGACAGGAAGAATGTTGTTACTTATTTTCTTCTAAGCAGCCAGTCTTACAATATTTTGTATTTAAAAGCTCCTTCTGAGACATTCCAAATGGGTACATTACTAATTTCCTACAAAAGAAATTAATTATAATTAAAATCTTAGATGTATAAAATATCTTAAGTCTGAATATACAAAGTAAAATCCTTCTTTCAAAGCACTAATTAAAAGAACTTGTAATAATTCTCAGAAAGGATAAAATGATTATCTTGGTTATTCAGAAGACCATTATGTGACTGTTATTCTTTAAAAAAAAAAAAAAAAAAACCCAAAACACAGACATACTTTTTTTTTCACGTAGAGCTTGCAGTCTTTGCAGCTCTTCTTCTTCACTGTCTTCACTGCTCGTGCTGCTAACATCTAACACGATATCCCTTTGGGGATCCACTCGGAGGAAGTTACGACACTCAAATGTCAGGTGACCAGCTGAACAAACAAGTATTAGGAAGAAAAGTTACAAATTACCAAGTGATACCAACAGCCAGGGAACACACATTTTACATTTATTCAGACTGGTTGGTGAGAAGGTGAGACTGTGAGGTAGGAATGAGGAAATGTGAAGGTTTTCTTTGAAAAAATATTGAAGAATTATGAGAGGCTGTGCAAAGGTATCCCATTTAATGGTGCTTTATGGCCTCCATATTTATGTAAATATAAAGACTATGTCCAACTTCTGTGTTCTACTTTCTTAATGGTCTCAGATCCTTTCCTGAAGAAGCATCTAAAAGCAGGGAGCAAAATATTTAAAAAACTAGATATTTCAGTTAAGTTTGGCTCCAAAGCAGCAGGAGGTACTAGGTTAGGAATCAAGAAACCCTAAACTTAAAGCATGGTCTTTAACTGCATGCAAATGAAACATATATGAATACAGCAGCATATTGTTTTCACAAAGGAACTCAAGGGTTTTGAAAGCAATAGTTCTGTATCAGAAAGCTCTGTGTTAGGTGCTTCTTCATGTTGCTCATTACAGACTTACGGTAGCCACATTTCTTGCATCCTGCTCTGATGTTATCCTTATTTCCACCTGAAAGAGAAAATCTCATCAAATAGGCGTTATGAAAGAGAAATCTTAAAGACTTTTTTTTTTTTTTTTTTAAAGCTGACTTGGCAATGTCAATTTGCAGATGGGAAGGACCATTCCTTTCAGGACACTGGGGTCACCAAGACTTCACACTGTCACTAGGAAGACTCAAACAAGTTTGGATAATATAAACTAGTATGGATCATTCAACTTCATATAACTTATTGCCAAATCAATTCTTTTTTTTTTTCTGATGTTAAAGTTTAATAACGATTCCACTTCTCTGAAAACTTATGCGATATTTTCGTTACAAAATGGACACGTTAATGGTCACCAGACTGTTCCTGTGGTCCATAACTGCACCACAAACAGACTGTAAGGCCTTGCAGGGTGCACATGTGCAGAGCAACAACACGGAGCAGCTCTGAGCTCACAGGTGTTTTATTTGCAAGAATTGTCTAAGGCGACAATGAAGAGAGAGAGAAATAATCATTCCTGGAGAAAAAGTAATGATGGAAATACTAATTAAAAAATAATCAGGCTAAAGAAATCCCATCTTGAACTCCGGCAGCAGACCATCAGCACACATAGAATTAATTGTCGCAGGAGAGGGAGAATGCCGTGAATAAGGGCAAGGCCGAGGGGTCCGCGGCAGGGCGGCCAGCCCGGCGCACGCTCGGCGCAGGGCAGGCCCTTTGCGCGGTTCCGCGAGCCGCCCGCCGGAGCACAGCGGGACTCGGAGACCTCTCACAAACCGGAGCAAAGGGGCCCTTCAACCAGCCAAGCCGCTCTGTAACGGGAGCCACGATTTCACCCCCCAAAATCCACTTCATCCCCCAAGGGCTCCTGTCCCCGCTGGCCACAGGGCTGGCGCTGCTCTCGGGAACCGGCTTTCCGAGGCCGGGCCCGCCGCGCCGCCCCGCGCCGTGAGGAGACGGCCCCGCGCTCCCGATCCCGCTCCCGCTCACCCGGCAGCGCCATGGAGCCGGAAGGCGGGCCGCGCGCACCGCGGGGCCGCGCCACTCGCGACGGGGGGGGAC